GGCAAATCGCCTTAAGCAAAGGTGATCAGACAATTAGTTGCCATTTGTCTTGACAGGCGTCAATTTTCCAACCTGTGTAATGTATACCATAAGGCTGGGTGAAGGGATGTGAAAGTGTTTGCATCTTACTATGATGGCATATTAGAGGTGGGTTCTCTAAGAGACCTTCAGAAGGTCAGAACATATACGAAAAATATGTTTAGGGCCCATTTCATGCTAATTACTGAATGTATTTGCCTGCTCTTTGTTTTAGGTGCAAACACGTTTGGTATTAAAGCAAAATTATACAATCGCGGCAATCCGATGGACTGGCATGAAGAACTAGAGAACAAGCAGAGCACACTATTTCAATCAATTTCTTCCGAATTTTGTGCTCATGTAAGTCTTTTCATTTTTTATGACTAATCTAGCGCCTCAATTAAATCAATCTTTTTTGCCACATACTAAAAGTATACATCCGTATTCATGTTTTTGAGACTACCAGTATGTCATATAGATGAGATGTATCCACCATATTTAGATTATGGTGAAGAAAGACTACTGGTAGATTAATTGTCCTATACTGACATGAGTAGGCTGCATCTTCCTATTCAATTTTGCATTGCCTTGATTCTCAAAGGAAGTAGTGGCTAGCGTGTCGAGAATCTACTCTGTATTACCACAACCCGAGTTCGAATCCTGCAGGGGGCGCTGTTGAGACCATTCCAGACGAGATGGAAACGGCAGTCTACCTAAATGAGAATAACTCTTGGGAAGCAGGGCTATGTGAGATTTAATGGAAGCTTGAGGCCTACTCCTATCATTATGGGAAAGATTTATCTACCAGTCCTTTATCACCTTAAATGAAATAGGGTGAATACATCTCATATATTCGTATTCATAATTCGAAAGCTGAGGAGATGCCATTAACAATCATGGAGAGGAGTAATTCTTATTGATAACTACATAAGAGGCATTTTGATGCAGCAAAAACAATATGTAACCGTATAGAAGTGAAGCGTAAGCAAATGGAAATTCTGGAATTTAAGTAGGAAATTGGTTTTCGTAATATCTCTTCATGGATGTAGTTAAGGTATCTTTCAGTTTATATAAGATGTATACAATCTATTTCGTTTAAGGTGAAGAATTAATGGTAGTTGAATTTTCCCACAATGATAGGAATAAATCTGACGTTTCCATTGAATTGCACTGCCGTTTCGACCTCGCATGGGTCTTATCAACACCCCCAGCGAGACTCGAGCCATAACAGTGCAGCGCGTAATCTCGACACGTTAATCACAACGTCACATTGCCACGAGTGCCCTTGAGTCACAGGGTAGATGTGAATTTCAATGAAGGCCAAGCAGTTTCCAATATCACATTCTGTGCTACGATTGCCGATGAAGCAAAGTTATATTTGCTATGACAATTGACTATGTTACTTATTTTTCGTTTATAAGTAGAGTTTCGAGACTACCAGTAAATCACTTATATGAGATGTATTCACCATTTCATTTTGTTTGAAGAGGCATAAGCCTCTTCCTCACAGAAACTTCCTCACATTATTCTTCCTCGAGATCTCTTTTCCTCTGGTTAACCATACATGCTTGATCCAGACGTTTCCTTTTTGCTTGCCTTGTCGTATCTTTGTTTCCTCCCTGTATGCTTAGGCAATAGGAAAATTTATCGCAAACTCTTCTTTCCTCCAATCTTATTTTTATTAGATTTTTCCCCCAAGGATATCAATGGCTTCCTTCATATATATCACCGTATTTGAAGGATTTAATGGAGAGCTGCTAGTAATAAGTAATTGATAAAAATCGGGGATCAGATGTTTGATTAACCCATGCATTATTTTTTCATATCATTTGACTGAATCCTTTAAGCAGAATTGCGATTCGAGGTCAAGAGAATTTCCGTCTTCTGCAAAAGAGGCCTGAATGATAGCAAGTAATTCTAGTTGACGTGATTATTTTGATTTACTACGAGACCGACTCATTTTATAATGCTTTAGCAGGAAATTTTGCAGAAAATATATAATGAACATGAAAGGCTTAGGAAATTAAATATTCACCTAAGATCAGAGACCTTTGCGATTTGACTAGAGTACAAAACTCATAAGTCTTCCTCATTCTCCCTTATGACATTCTTCCCATTATTTTGTCTGTGCAGATGGCTGCAACGATAGCCCTGGGACATCCGCTCCGCATCAAGACACTTTTGTGTAAAGTCAACAAGTTTATTCGAGGAAGTGTAATAGCAGACACTACAATTACGGCGTTGACCGGAGACGATGGCCTTATTTTCACGACTGCAGATGTTTCTGAGGCCATAACACTGGGCTCAACGATGCTCGAGACCACTGTCGGTTCTGTCACCTCGGACATCTCAGGTCAGCTATATTTTGCAAAGCGAGTTAATCATGAGACCAGATGATTCCTCTAAAGATTGGGTAGTTGGAACAATGATATAAACCTAGAATGGATGGAGGCAGTAAACATAAAGTTATAATGCAATCAAAAAAAAAATATGTGATCAGGCTCAAGGAAGGAATATCAAAGTGGAAAGTTAATAAGGATAATAGATTTAAACATGTGAAAAGTGGGAGATAAGTAGTTGAAAACTTCAAAGTTCGTCCATGCAACAAAAATATGGAAGGTCAAAAAGTTAGAATAGGCCATTGGAGACAGAAGTAAGGTTTATAAATTAGCAAAAAGAACATTAATAAATACGTTCAAAAAATAAAAAAATAAATAAAAAGTAGAGGGTCAAGGAAGGGGAAATAACAGATAAGCAAATAAATAGAGTTAGACGTTCAATAAATAACGAAGGAGTATAAATATGGAAAATTTGTAGAAAAAATATACAGAAAAGCTAGCTAAAAGAAGTAAGAAATAAATGAAATGATAAATAAAGAAAAGAAACAATATAGAAATAGTATTAGATGAAAAGACAAAAGTATAACATATAAATAAATAAACTATATGTATTCCTAACATTGATTTCAAAGGACAGACGTGAAAGAGGGTGAAGAAAGGAACACAGCAATAAATGATATAACAAGCAAGGCATCATCAAATACAGAATCCTCAACAATTGAGGTCCAGACAGAATCCTTTCCTCCAGCATTATCAAAGGAAGATAC